CTCTCTCTCTCTCTCTCTCTCTCTCTCTCTCTCTCTCTCTCTCTCTCGCTCGCTCGCTCGTTCGCTCGCGCGCGCGCGCGCGCGCGCGCACTCGTTCGTGCACATTTGCCTGTGTGTACACGTGGCGCGCGAGTGAACGCCAAACGACTGCAAATCAGCCAATGGTGATTTATTAGTGATTCGATTTACGAACGGATTCATGGCATCTGCCCAATTCTGAATTTGCACGACGGCAAAGATCCAAACAGGGACAATTGCCCGCCGGTCCACGTGGCTGAAATGGTAAACGCATTCAGCCAAACTGTTAGTAAATAGGATATGATCTCGAATTGTGATGGAATCAGATTACAATAAAATTAATAACAACTCCCTTATTCAAAAAGGAAAAATAAAAATAAAAATAAAAATAAAAATAAAAATAAATAAACGGCCCGGGACGATGGACTACAAGAATGTCGCATGAAACTTGTCCGGCATCGCGGCCTGGAAGAAAAACATGCATACAAGGAAAGCCAAGAGAAGTAGAAAACAAACGGTTACTGGATTCAGCTATGCATATTGCCACCCACACACGTACCCACCCCACCCACCCGCCCACCCACCTACCCACACACACACACACACACACACACACACACACACACACACACACACACACACACACATACACACACACATACACACGCGCGCGCGGATATACGGACACGCACACATAGTCTTGTCAGGGGTTTACACCGACGGTCTGCTAGGATAGCAAAGAGCTGGTGTGAGTCAAGTCGACCACTTTTGTCTCTAGCAAGGGTCTACCTTCGGATAAGGCGATGGTGAATCCTTATCCATCCCTCAATGGCCCCTGGATCCTCAGACTGTCGAGGTTTAATTTCCGGATAAAGATTCGGAGGAAGTCCAACAAAACAGTCTGGTACAGTCATGCGTTTTTTTTGTGGAGTTGTGGATAGCGCACATGACAACACGCGCGCGCGCGCACACACACACACACACACAGAAGCAAAGAGACAAGAGAAGAAGACAGGAAACGATTACTAGACGCAAGAACGCACTATCCCACACACACGCGCACATACGCGCGCGCGTGGGCTAATCCACCAGTCATATGGATCGTGGGCAGACAGTCTCATAAACGTCCTAGTAATCCGTCGGTGGAAGTACGACGGAACAGTGCGTCACAGCCACGCTTTTTCTGCGGAAGCGAATACACAGCACACACGCGCGAACACCAGGCACGCTCATTCGCGCACGCGATGCGCCACACGCGCGCATGGACGTACGCGCCACGTTCACGATATCGGAGAAAGTTGACGTTTGGACGCGGAAGAAAGGGAGGAAGGTGTCCTTCCCCACATCCGTTAAAATTGGAGCGATGCAGAGAAAAATTAGCATGGCCCCTGCGCAAGCATGACACGCATATATCGAGAAATAGTCCAATTAAGCAGGGACACATTACGCGTTCCAATCAAGCAGGGACACATTACACATTCCAATTAAGCAGGGACACAACGCACATTTCAGTTAACCGGGGACATACAAGTAGAATACATTTCGGTTAAAGGGGGACAGATTATACATTTCGGTTAAGCGGGGACAGATTATACATTTCGGTTAAGCAGGGGCCAAGCCGCGCGTTTCATTTTCATTTGCCATTTCAGAGCGCGGGGTACTCCACGCTCGCCTCGCGCGCGAAAGCTTGTCCTGCTTTCAATGCGCGCCGAAGATACCGACGCTGTTTCGCGGGCGCGCGGGAGAAACAAACAAGCAAACTGCGAGCTCGAAGATACCGATGCGCGCCGATCTCGAACATACCATGCATGGCAATCGTCATCATGTGCACCTTGTTCTTTGTTCTTGGTTTTTTGTGTTTGTTTGGTTTTCTTTTTTTGTTGTTGTTTTCAGGAGGGGGGTGTTGAGGGAGGACAGAAGACTGTAAGCTGCCGGACCAGCACATACAGCTCCAGATAGAAGCTTTGGGGTTTGAAGAAGAACACATGTCAAACGGATCATGAACACCTGTCCAGGGTGAGAGAGAGAGAGAGAGACCGACTGAAAGTGCTCAGGGTAAGAGAGAGAGAGAGAGAGAGAGAGAGAGAGAGAGAGAGAGAGAGAGAGAGAGAGAGAGAGAGAGA